TCCTTGCTGATTTCCTGTCTAATTGTTCCATCAGTTAGTGGTGTATTAAAATCTCCATCTGCCATTGTTGAAATGTCTACTTTTCCTTTCACTTCTGTAAGCTTTATGCTTTATGTAATTTTGAGCTCTCTTTTTAGGGGTGTATAATTGTGATATATTTCTAAAGTATTATCCATTTTACCATTAAGAGATAAATATTCCTCTTTGTTATAGTATTTCCTGTCTTAAAGTCTGCTTTTTCTGATATGAATATAGCTGCTCTGCCTCTCTTATGGTATGGTTTGCATGGTATATTTTTTTCCATCCTTTTACTTTGAACCTATTGGTGCCTTTAAATCTAAAGTATATTTCTTATAGATAGCATATTGTTTTTTATGTAGTCTGACATCCTCTCTTGTTTGGGCTGTTGAATCTGTTCACATTTAATATAATTATTGATATAGTTGTATATACATCAGCCATTTTGACATTTGTAGTCTACATTTCCTCTCTAGTTCTGTTATTGCCTTCTGTTATGTTAGATGAATATTTTTTTGGTATGCAATTTCAATTACTATGTTGATTTTTTTACCATATATTTTTTTACTTATCTTTTTGTTGTTCCCCTGAACATGATGAGTCATTTTTTTCTTGCTGCTTTCAAGATATTCTATTTATCTTTGTCTTTCACAATTTATGATGTGTATAGGTGTGGATCTCTTTGGGTTTATCTTATTTGATCTTTATTGAACTTCTTAAAGCTTAATATTTTTCATCAAAACTTAAATTTACAATCACATATTATTTCCCCATTTTACAATACAATAAGAAAAAGCAAATTTGAAATGAAGGACCAAACTGGGCATGGTGGCTGACGGCCGTAGACCTTGCACTTTAGAAGGCCAAGGCAGGCGGATTGCTTGAGGCCAGGAGCTTGAGACCAGCCTGAGCAAGAATGAGACCTGGTCTCTACAAAAAAATAGAAAAAGTTAACTGGGCGTGGTAGCATGTGTCTGTAGTCTTAGCTACTTCTGAGACAGGAGGATAGATTGAGCCTGCGAGTTTGAGGTTGCTGTGAGCTGTGAGGATACCACTGTACTCTAGCCTGGGTGACTGA